GGCCCTGAGGGGAGACCCTCCTCGGGAAGAATACAAGGATGCCACCTCGACGGACGATAGTGAAAGTGGCAGTGGTGGGTCGGGGACAGAGAGCAACCAAGAGTTTACGTGGGCGGTGGACCTGGTACGATACATCCGGCGCAAGCATGGCGACTATTTTGCAGTTGGCGTTGCGGGTTATCCGGAGGGCCATGCAGACGAATCGCACCCAGAGCAGGGGAAACAGAGCGTGGAACATGATCTACCCTATCTTGCCGAGAAAGTCGCAGCGGGTGCCGATTTCATCATGACACAGCTCACCTATGACATTGCAGCTTACGCCGCATATGAGGAGAGGTTGCGAGGGTACACCGACCAAGACGGGAAGAGGTTGTTTGAAAAGATCCCCATCATCCCCGGTCTCATGCCCATCCAGTCCTACCAAATCATCAAACGGATCACCAAGCTCAGCCACGCAAGACTGCCCGAGGACATTTCCCAGCGAATCGAACGTGTGAAGTCGGACGATGAGGCGGTCAAGAAGGTCGGGGTTGACATTCTTTCAGAACTGGTTGAGGAGATGAAGACGTTGACGCAGCCAGAAGGACTTCCTCGAGGTTTCCATTTTTATACCTTGAATCTGGAGAAGAGTGTATCTTTCATCCTAGAGAGAACAGGGCTGATTCCCACAATCTCAAGTGAAGGGAGTGTTGAAGACAAGGATGGGGACTCGGCATCTGATTCAGACGTGGTTGTCGAGGACAGCAAACATAGTACTCCGGCCATCGTCACGACTGGGCCGGGGGAAGATAGGCACGAAGAGCAACCTTCTGGCTTGGTGCGACGAAGGAGAAGTTCTGTCAACGCACAGCCCCACAACCGTGTAATAACCGATCGGAGATCTGAACCCCGAACAGAATCTCGTCGACCTGACTCAGACAGTGACCCTCCTGGACTGGGACCCAATCCAAATTTGAAATTGACGTCTCAACATTTAGCGACAGACCGTGGGACTGGAATTCCTGCCGCATCTCCCACCCGGCAGCATAGCTTGCTCATATCGGAAGGACAAGGCTCTCTAGGGCGCGAAGCGACGTGGGACGATTTTCCTAATGGGCGTTGGGGCCCTTCGCACTCGCCTGCGTTTGGGGAGATTGATGGCTACGGACCGAGTTTGAAAGTCAGTCCGCTGATGGCGAGAAAGTTGTGGGGCTATCCGAGGAGCAGACAGGATGTGACGGAACTGTTTAGACGCCACGTATTGGGGGAGCTAGCGGCCGTGCCGTGGAGTGATGACATCGATCCCGATCTCGTTTCACCAGGAGAGGGATCTGCCGATGGCTCTACGAATTCCAGCGCGCTCCGTGCTGAGACAGACGTGATTCGGGCCGAGCTGATATCCCTCATCAGTCGCCAGAATTATTGGACGCTTGCCTCTCAACCCGCCGTCGACGGCGCGCCCTCTTCTGATCCTGTGTTTGGCTGGGGTCCTCCAGGCGAAGGATTCGTCTTTCAAAAGGCGTTTGTCGAGTTCTTCTGTGGGCGAGATGAATGGGAGGACAAGCTGCGGCCACGCCTGATGAAGCACGGGAGCGACGTGTTGGGCTGGATGAAGACCGATGCCGAGGGATTATTTGAAAGCAGTGAGCTTGTAGCTCGGGACCAAGCTCGAAACCAGAAGACACGGGCAGCCGCAGATACCGAGAAAGAAAACTCCAAACCAGCCTCTGTTTCACCAGGTGCAGATCAGAAAGTCGCTACTTCAACCTCGACTTCCTCGCCAACGAATACGGTCAACGCAGTGACCTGGGGCGTGTTTCCTTCGCGCGAAATCTTGACGCCGACCATCATCGAGGCCGAATCGTTCCGTGCCTGGGCACAAGAAGCGTACGCGATATGGCATGAATGGAAGCGATGCTTTCCCCGAGGAAGCCCCGAGAGCGTGTTTTTGGAGAAGATGGGAAAGGATAATGTCTTGGTGAATGTGGTCGGACAGGGGTTCCGCGGCGGACATAACGGTGGCAAGGGAGAAGGGGGGCGGCTATGGAGGATATTGTTGGGCGAGGATGGAGATGACAAGACTTAGTGTGAAGGTGGCCAGAGAACAGTACCTGGTAATATGGGGAAGAGAGACATGCGAGGTTTGTCATCGTTCGCCTGCCAGCGGTGACGAGGTTTTGTCCCAGTCAAGACGGATCCCTCTGGTCTGTATCTGCCACAGCTCCAACCATCAGTTTGAGATACTTTCCAATCATTTCGCGTTGGAAGTGATCCGGGAAAGTTGCTGATGTAACTCGACAACCCCTGACAAGGTGCAGCCTTGTAAATAACACCGCAGCCTCGCCAACTACCCTGCAATGCGTTCAAGTAAATCAGGACATTCCAGCCTCGTACCTCTGGTCCCCTGGGCACGAACCCTTTCTTAGATCCCATCTCGCCAACGATGTTCAGTTCGCTTCTAACCAATTACTCGCAAAGGCTCCAACACGTTTTCAGCCTGAGCATAATTACTTGAGAGTTGCAGGTATATCCAGCCCGATTCGGACGGCAGACTAACTTGACTAGTCCGGAATCTAATTCTCAGAGCCTCGGCTGAAGATCAGGTACCCTTATCGCTTATTACTTGTAGTTACCCGAAACGCCGAGCGCGTCCCACCAGATACCAGGACCCGCATCAACATCAACACCAACACCAGCGATCTTGGATGAGGAAAAACCCTTGTGGCTAGATGGACAGTACCGCATACTCGAGTCGATAACGATCAAGGTGCCCCGTTGTCCTGTGAGCGGTGAGACTTTACCAGCCAGGAGACAAGATGGCAGGTGTTGGTGCGGACGCGGACGCGGACGTGGATGCCGCCCTCGCGAGTCCCTCGGATATGGACGAGACGGAACAAGATGTCGTTGATCCGATGTTCAAGGCAGACCCAGATGCAGACATCGACGCAGATGCAGAGGCAGAGGCTGTTGCAGACGCAGATTCAGATGAACCTCCGTTACCAGAGACGGGGCCAGGGACGACAGGAGCAAAGGCAAAGGCAAAGGCCAAAAGTGACAGTGGCAGTGGCAGTGGCAGTGACGAGATTGCCGTGCGCTTGAACAAGTATGTACCTCGTAGATTGTATTGATTTTTATCAGTGGTACTCGCGTACCCTGAGAGAGAGAGAGAGAGAGAGAGACGAATCTCCACGGCTGACACCAAGGACTTAAAAGACTGATCTCAACGACTGCCGGGCTGGGCTCGCTGCTCGCGACCATCAACTTCTCGGCAAACCTCGCGATATACCTCTCGGTGCGACTTCCAGTGTGGTGGTCTGCGCTGGTCTCTCGATATGTAACGCGCACGCGACGGAGACAGGGACAGGGACAGGGACAGCAAGTGCCCGTTGCCATTGCCGCCGCCGTTGCCGCCATCGCCGCCACGGCACCTCCTGTACTCACCTCGCTCGCGTCTCTCGCCTCGCTCATCTCCGACTGGCGCAAGTCGCAGCGCCTCACGGGCCTCATCCCGCTCTACACGCGCCTCCGCCTCCTCATGTCCACGACCAACCCGGCCATCCAGGCCCTGGACCCCGTCCTGCGCGGCCTCTTCTTCGTCCAGTGCCACGCATACATCGTCTTCCAGGCCGTCGAGAACCTGTGCCACTTGCAGAGTAAAGGGCTCTTGCCCGCGTCGGCGTCGTCGCTGGTCGAGAGGCGCGGCGGCTTCGCGCGCTGGGCCGTCTGGAGTTATCGGGCGTGGTGTTTGGGCGTGGTGACTAATTTCCTCCGGTTGGCGAGGGAGGCGGACCTAGTGAGGAGGCGGGAGGGGAGAAGGAGGAGGAGGAGGAGCAACAGGCAGAGTACGCATCGACATGGAGAGGGTGGTGGAGAGCCAGACGGTGATGGACATGAAGAGGGGGAGGGAGACGGGGAGGAGGGTGAAGCCGCCACCGAAGAGTTTTATCGCAAATTTTGGAACGAAATCCTCATCTCGGCGTGTTGGTTCCCGATCGCTCTGCACATCAGCCTTCCCCCGAAGGGTATTCGCGGCATGAACCAGGGCATCTCTTCGACGTTGAGTCTGGTGGCGACTGTCATGGGCTTGCGGAGTCATTGGCGGGCTACGGCGGCTTAGAATGTCGAGTGAGTCAAAATTGAAGACTGCGATGCTGGGATCTGGGATTGGGGGATGGTTCTATTATAGGCCGGATTTGGTGCATGATAGCAGCTATACATATATAGACAGATATAGAAGGGACATGTCGATTCGGCCTCTCTTACCTGGTAGGTAAGTAGGACGGGAACCGATACTACCGTGGTAGACTAGGGGGAAGAGTGCATGATATACTCAAGTACATGGCTATATGGGTATTCTTGCAGTGCTTGACGAGGCGAGGTATAAAATCTTTACGATCGCCCAGCTTCACTTTTCTTCCTGAACCAGAAGAAGAGAGGCAATACACGCCCTTGGCGAATCTGTATGTACTTTGAAATAACAAAATTCTGGGCAATGCGATTCTTTGTAGCGTGTCTACATTGGCTGTGTTAAGGGGTAGATGTAGATCGAACCAACCTCCCAACCAGCCAGTCAGCCAGTCAGCCAGTTCCCAACATTACCAGACTAGGTGGGTATCAGTAATAATAGATATCAGAACAATCTTTTTCCAGTAAACACCCTGTCTGGTGAGCTCGGTTCAAAAGACCTCGCTCAGAATGCCATCTCCTCACCCCGCTTCCACTCCATCAGAATCAGCTTTCGGCTATATCTCGACGTTGTTGTGCGGGTTACGGGGATACGTTTCTTGTCTCGTTTGCCGGTGGATTTGGGGTTTGCTTCGAAGGTTCTTCTCCAAATGGCGTTCTGTCCATGGTAGCAACGTGCCTATAGTTTCTTGGAAGGATACAAAAGTGCTTGTCAGGTTCGGTAATGCCTGTGTAGGTAGTTGAAGTTCTCTTTCACACTACTACACACAGGGTATTTCGACCAGAGAAATCTTTCTTTACACAAACCTCAGAACCCAGACATCAGGACCGAGACAATGACGTCCACAAGTTCCGTAGGTGTGGATGGCCACCTCTTCCCCGTCCCCCCCGGCGCGGTCGCAAACTTCTGGATCGTCGACACGACCGGCACCATCGAGGGTCTCGGCGCCGACCACCTGGTGAAACCGAGTCTGCCGACCTTCCACACGTTCCCCAAAGTCCCGAGCTGGTCGTTTTTGATCGAGACCACCGTCTCAGGGAAGACGAGGAGGGTGCTCTTCGACCTCGGCGTGCCCAAGGACGTCTATGCCATGCCGCCCGTGGTTTCGGGGAGGTTGAAAACGTTTGGGTGGGTGGTCGAGGTGCCCAAGACGACGGCCGAGGTTTTGGTCGAGAGTGCCGGCTCAGAGGGGGGAGGGTTGCGGTTGGAGGACATCGAGGCTGTGGTTTGGAGGTGAGTTATCGAGCTTATCGTGAACGACTGATAATTCTGAGGGAGAAAGTTGTCAAGGAACTAATATCACCGCTGTCTAGTCATTGGCACTGGGATCATCAAGGCGACGTCCAGCCTTTTCCCCCAACTACGGACCTGATCGTCGGACCGGGCTTCGGCAAAGCATTCCTCCCAGCGTACCCAGCGGGTCCTCAGTCGCCGATACGGCAGACAGATCTGGAGTAAGTCCACCCACCGTCCAGACCACAGGGGTCGCTCTACCGAAAGTACTAAACCCCTCGTCTACTGGCAGCGGTCGACGCCTGCGCGAGATCGACTTTGACAACACACCCACCGTGCAGGTCGGCCAGATCCGCGCCCTCGACTACTTTGGCGACGGCTCCTTTTACCTGCTCGACACGCCCGGCCACGCCATCGGCCACCTGGGCGGTCTCGTCCGCACCACGTCGAACCCCGACACGTTTGCCTTTCTGGGAGGCGACCTGACGCACCACGGCGGCGAGCTCCGGCCCTCGAAACATCTGAGCTTGTCTTCAGCCGTGGCATCCGTCGCTGCGGGACATTCCAGCGAGGGTCTGGGCACCGTGACGCTCCAGAGTCTCGAGACCCTCCAGACGTCGCGCGGCCGCGCCGTCGACCAAGCCTTCTTCGACCCCGTGCTCACCAGCGACTTTGACGAGGCGCTGCGCACCATCGCCCGCGCACAGGACGCCGACGCCCAGGACAACGTCTGGTTCGTCGCCGCGCACGACGACACCATCGCCGGCGTGGTCGATCTCTACCCCAAGCGGGCCAACGGCTGGAAGGCCCGCGGGTGGCGCGAGAAGACCATGTGGACGTTTCTGAGGGATTTTCGCGGCGCGTTGCAAGGGGGGCAGTGTCCGGGCCATATTTGAGCTCGTAAACAAACTGTCACATTGTATGGAAGGAGGTGAGTATTGGAGTCAAGAGGAAGAGGGACACAGGTGCAGCGTGGGGAGGAGAATCCAAACTCCTGGGATGAGATGGTCAGAGATGGTTCGTGTAGTCGGGGACATGTAACGCATGCTGCAATATTTATCACCGTATGATATGATATAACATGGCCGCCAGAGAGGGAGTAATTAGTGATTAACCCTCTAGACCAAAACTCGACCCAGCATATCCGAGTGTGGAAGTGTCCATTACCGAAACTGAGCCACTGCCGCTCACCACATAAAGAGACAAATCCATAGCCGAGACCCATAACATTCATACATGCATACGCACTTGTATATCAATCAATGTTCTGCCCGCACCCGAAAACCGAATCTATTGGAGTCGAACCGGATGGAGTGTGGGGGAGATGATCCCGTTATTCCAAAGCCCGACAGGGCATTCAGCGAATCCAGTAGCCTTGACCGTCGTTTGGAGAAAAAAGCATCCTGTCTCCGAGGTAAATAGATTGTAATTTGTATTTGTATTTGTATTTGTGTACCTTCGACATCGCACCGCGTGGTAAAGAGATAGAAGTGTCTGGCTGGGCCCCCGGCCGAGAACTAAAAAGCAACCAAGCACCGGCCAACGTCTTCCATTTTGGTCTTGATTGGAGACAAACCCAACAAGATGGGAAGGCTAGACGGCAAAGTCATGATTGTGACGGGGTCAGGATCTGGGTTTGGCAGGGGAGTGAGTTTCTTACCTACATGCCTACATACCTACCTACACTCTCATTGCCTTTGTCTTCTGCTTGTCCTTGTCCTTTTGCTCTCCTCTCCCAGCGGGAGAAATACCATGCTGACAATGCGCCAATATCATGTCTGAAGATCGTGCAAAAAGCCCTCTCAGAAGGCGCCCTCGTCCTCGGCATCGACATCAACCAGCCCGGCAACGACGCGACACTCGACTCCCTCCCCACCACCCTCTCACAGAATTTTTGCCCATTTACAGGAAGCGTCTCGCACGAACAGACGTGGCGCGACGCCCTCCAGATGTCTCGCGAGAAATTCTCCGCCCTGCCCGACACGGTGGTCAACTGCGCGGGCTACGTGCACCTGGGCGCCGACGCGCACGCCGTGCCCGAGGACGACTTCGACCGCGTCTGGCAGGTCAATGTGAAGCCGCTGTACCTGACGGTGAAGGTGGTGGTGCCGTGCTGGATCGCCGGCAAAGTGGCGGGGCATGTCATCAACATTGGGAGTATTGGGTCGAGGAGGCCGAGGGCCAGCACCATCTGGTACACGGCGAGTAAAGGCGCTTTGGATACGGTGCGTGCGTATCAGTTACTGTCTTTCCTTGTCCGGTCTTTGTCCAGTCCCACGGTTTTCTTTGAAACCCAGGTTGTTTTGGATGGGTAGTTATTGCCCCGGGAAAAAAACTGATGTGATGGTGACTTGAGTTGACTGACCGAGTGGTGATTGAGAGGGATTCCAGGCAACCGAAGGTCTCGCCGGCGCGTATGCCAAAGACCGAATCCGCTTTAATATCGTGAGACCGTCGTTTGGGAACACACCCATGTCAGTAATAAGGCTTTTTTTTCTTCTTCTTCTCTTGGAAGGAAAGGAGGGGGGGCGATTATCAAGTCTTTTTCAAGAGCCGGAACAGACCAAGAGCTGAACACCCTCTCCCTCTCCCTCGCCCTCGATTTACCTTACTATGTACCTAACCTTTCTGTTCGTTGTTTATATACAGGGCCCCCCGCGTCCTCGGAAAAGTCGACTCTACCTTCACAGAAGAGGACGAAGAAGGACGAGCCAAACGCCTCGCGACCCTCCCGCTCGGCCGGCTCTGCGAACCCGAAGACGTCGCCAACATGACGGCCTTTCTGGCCTCGGATGAAGCGAGGTATATCACGTACGTTGTGTTCTCTCCTCCTAGGGCCCCATCTTCCTCTCTTGCCTGAAAAAGGATAAACATGGTCACAATCGATGAAAATTGCTCAGGTCGACTGACTGACTGACTCGCTCTCTGGCTGACTCTGGCCGGGGATATACAGTGGCGCCGGATTCAACGTCGACGGCGGAAGATATGTCTCTTGACCGACACCCCATTGTCCTCCTCCTTGGAGCTCTGGACCCAGATCCCAGGGAAACTCGGAACTAACACATCAGTGATCATGGTGCCGGCCCATGACTTGTAGTGTAGATGCACCGAGGACAGTGTATGCATCTACAAATATGGAAATGTGGGGACACTTTGCAATGTGGAATTCTAGAAAGAAGGGCATTTACTCAAAACATTTTTTTTTAATTTCTTTTCTGGGTTTCTGCATATCCCCTTTCTCCCTTTTTGGGGGGTTTTTTTTTGGTTTTGACATCTGATTTTGTTCCCTCCGGCGTAAGTTCCAGCAATCATCTGAGTGGTGAATGGTAGGTCAGGCTCGACATATCCAGCGAACTCCCCTGGTGTTTCGTCTGTTCGATGATTCGCCTTTGTGGATGCATAGCAAGCTTTCTTTCTGCCCATCCAGCACTCCACCAACTGGCCCAGCGACTCAATCACCCACTGAACACTCCAAGTAGACTCTGACAAGTGTCGAAAGTAGTCCAGCCCTGTTGCACGAAGCGTACCGACACCCGCTGCGTTGAGCCGCGCCACGCCACAACACACACTTGCACTCCCCTTCCGTAATAGCGACTATTCATTCTCTTCCTGCTCACCAAGACTCAACTCACCCATGTCGTGCACCACAGCCTCGTCCTCGAAATCCTCTTCGACCTCTTCAAAATCCTCCCTCCGCAAGATCTTACCATCCATGACTCGTCCCATATGGGTGTGAGTCCATTCGATTCCGGCTCGTCGCATATCGATGAATTCCTTGATCCAAGGCACAGGGCTGGTCCGGAAAGTACATTCCGTCCACCCGTTCGCTTTTCGACAAGAAGGCGACACAAAGTTGTCGGTTGCCACCTGTCGCTTGCGGAGTGTTCGCTCTCCATCAAAGAGCCCCGTCAGCGTACAAAATTCCTGGTAATGCTCAAAGGAAGAAAAGTACAGCTGACCTGCAAAAAGGCCGAGCAGGGCAATGGCTTGTGGGCTGATCTCGCCAGAATTGTTTCTCGCCGGGAATTTGCAGATGTCGAGGCTATCGAACGACGCCATGTTCCGAGAGGTACGGGCCTGATACATGTACAAGGTCGATCTCTTCGACCGCTGAATGTCCGGCAAAAATGCGTTGGCTTCATGCGGGCTGATGATGATAGGTTGTGCCATTCCCTCCATTTTCAACACCCACTGCACTGGTCTCAAAAAACCGTCGTCACGAGAACCGTCATGAGATTCAATGGTTCGCATGAAATCCAGAGTTACCCACACATGCGTGGGAGACTCCAAGGGCATGTAGTAAGGCCTGAGGCGGGTCTGCACCAGGATTTCGAAGCATGGGCGGAGTTCTGTGGGCTTGACGAGAGTAGCTCCATCCCGGCCATTTCGAATAAAATCCAGCAAAGCCTGACAGACGCTGGGAGTGGCAGGACGGACCTCTCGAGGGCGTTGCACCTCTCTCTCTTCTTCAATTTCATGCAAGACCTCTCGCTCCTGTTCTTGCGTGATCCCGCTGTCGTCAATGTCTGCTGACCCAATTCGTTCGAACTCTAGACACAGATCTTGAATAACAAAATCTTGATTCTCCTGGATAGTCGGCTCGAACGGCATTTCCGCTCGGTGATGCCCGCCCACGCAATACAGCTCAGTGACCGGGCGACATTCTCGTTCTCGAACTGTATTCAGATACTGTTGAGAATCCACAATCTTTCCGTTCGACGAAATGTGCCGGGCAGCAGCAAGTCGCCGCCGTGAGTGAAGCAACCCTCGAGATATGTAAAGAGGATCTTGCTTTTTCAGAGCAAGACAAGACTGGTGAATAGCCCAACGGACGACATGCAGGCTGTCAAGCTCTCCGGTTGGAATTCTATTGACGCTTCGAATTGCTTGGTCGACCTCCGGGGGAGCATAGAATCTGACACGTTGAGAGACGGCAAGCTTCCTCATGCGCATACAGGCTTGTGCCAGGTTATCTTTCAGAATTCCTGGTCCCAACAGAACGGCGGCGGTAAAGTTGTCGGGAAGCAGAAAGTCGGTTCCCCTGGTATGGAACTCGTCGAGAAAGATTAGACAGCTTCTCAGCTCATCTTTGAAGATGGAAGACGCAAGTGGTTCGGTTGAGCCATCACGATTCAATACCATCTTCTCGTCGTGTTCCGAAAAGTAAATGGTGGCTATCTTTTCCGGCCTCAGAAGCAGCCATAACTGGGCGATCTCCAGATTTCCTTCTAGCATTTGAGCTCCCACATCGATGATAACATCGAGTGGTCCATCTGCAGTGATGCGTTGCAGCAACTTCTTCGTAGTCAGCCTCTGACCAGATGGTGATGCGGCACAGAAGTATTTCCGGTTATCAAACCTCAACAGGGTACACAGAGTTGACGCTGTGATGTGTCTCAAGTCCGGAAGATCCTTCTGTATGATTGGTATTTTGCTGTCGCACGTGCCACCGAAGCCAACTGTAAGAACTCCTTCGTTTCTACACAGATCCCAAGCCGAGGTGGACAATTTGTATCGAAACTCTTTCGCTGCCGAAAGGAATACAACGTGTCGGAGAAAGAAATTGATCAACTCGGTGTTGATGCGTAGATGGGCATACAGAGTATCCACGCAAGTGGCATCATCTAGGTTGATGGAGTTGATTTTGCGGTATTTTCCAGGAAGCTTGGAATGCTTCACCCAATTATGGTATGCGTCAGCGGGATCTGGCAGCTTGAGCAAGATAAGAAGGCATCTCCTCAAGTCCTGGTGAAGAATGCCTGTGTAATAGAATGACAGTGCGGTCAGGATGATTGCCGCTTCCGGCTGTGCAAACTCAGCACTGGGTGATGGAACTGATTTGGCACGATACGGAACTGCGCTCAAAGTTCGAGTCCGATCCAGCCCATAGTTCACCTGCCAGCGTTTGTGCAGAGCATGACTCAAAATTTGATGTGATACCAGACCTCTGGCCACATAGAGTAGGTTGAGTCTGGAGGAGTTCCGAAAGTGTTGGGTGATCAATTCAAATTGGGCCCCGTCGACGTCCACATTGAGAATGAACGAGCTGATGGCTTGAAGCACCTCTGGATCGCAGTGGCCGAGAGAAAGGCCTGAAAGCTGTCCATTGACGATGGCCTCAGTCACGAACTTTGCCACTGCCGCCGCGCCATCATCGTTGAGCACTCTGAAATGGGGGAAAGCGCCTGGGCCTCGGGCTTCAACTTCGATTCCGGTTGGACACTGGTTGAAAAGCGCATACGCATTTTTCTGGACCAAATACAAGACTTCCAACGAAACATTCCATCGGTCTGGCGCTCCGGAGAGAAGGTTTGCTTCCCCACTCGTGTAGACAAGTTCGTATCCAGGTTTCAACAGCTCGTCGGACTCGTCGAGGACGTCTCTAGCATTGCAATCAAGCCATTTCTGAACGTCGATGAGGTTGGTAGCAAGATGGTGAGTGTCCGGTGTCAGCTTATCTATGCCCACAAGGCGAAAAGAGTTCAGGTATTCTGGTAGAGTCAGCAGTACACCCCCCCCTTCCCGGCATTCCTGATACAGGCTCATCAGTCGCTGGGGTGTTTCAGCGGTTAAATTGGTCTGCCTGGAAAAGGGCAGATAGTAGAGGTTCCTTCCCACCAAGCCTGCAAGAGAGCGTGATAAGATCCGGAGCATTTCTTGTGCAAGTGGTTTCAGCACGACGACTCGGACGAGATGCGAACCTTGAGCAAGTGCTGTTACCACAAGATTTAAAATCACACTCGTTTTTCCCTCACCCATACCCAGTAGAACAGTACCATTTTCCGGCTTGAGCAATTCAGTTGCTACACGGATCTGCACAGGTCGAATGAGAAAGTTGTTTTGGCACTCGAGAAGGAGCCAGTCAGGCCACTCCTCTGGCGACCATGCAGAGTGTGCAGGATTTGCAAGCTCGTTATTGAGAGCGAACGCATCATCGGCAGCAAGGAACTTTTGTAATCTTTCCACACGTTGAGCGGCCGTAATCTCTCTTGCAAATTGGAGAAGAACAGATATCCAGCAAGACGGTACTTTCTTTCGATTGTCAGCGGAGAGGAGCTGAAGCAATGTCAACTCAGATACCTGTGGCCAGAGTCTTGCTGCTACGAGAGCCTCTTGCGTGTCGACACGCGGTCTCAATAACTTGCGGGTTCGACAAAGAATGTAGGAGATTCGGGCTCTAGACTCCTCAAGCTTTTGAGCCAGAACCTCACCAGAAGGCACTTCCATCTTGATCGTGTCCTGGCCCAACCGGCACTTCATAGCCTGGTTGCTGTCATTCAAAAAACTCCCGTAATCACGTACGGCTGTAGAGGTA